CCACCATCCAACCCGAGGGAGGGGACACGTAACCCTTTTGGGGCCACAGTGTCCCCCTTAACCCACATCCCTCCTCCTCCCCCTTCCCCATCCGCAGCGAAAGCCCCTCCGGCAGCACGAGGCGGGGATTCGGGCGAGAGTCAGGCGGGAGCCCCGCAGCCCCCCCCCAGGCATCAGAAAAGCCGGCAGAAACCTGAAATCAAATGCAGCTAAGTACAATTGCAAAGCTGCAGGCACAGGCCTGAGAGAGCATTAAGCAGCATTATTATGGCTCGGCGTACTGCCGGTAGTGACATTACCGCAACTTAAAAATGTTTGGGATCAGAACTGCAGAATCTATTCTTTTCTGTGGGTTTTGCCTGGGCTGCATTTCCATTTTTCTGAAGAAAATACCTGTTTGGCTCAACCAACCTCCTGCACTTTGCTGTTCAGCTCTCCGGGGCTTTTCTTGCCTTCCTGCTCCCCATTGTATGTCAAACGCAGACGGATGCTTCGCCCTCACTGCAGCATCCTGAAGGAGCATCCATGCTGAGTCCAAACATTTTCCTTTACCCGTCCTGGCTGCCAGGTTGTCTTTATTTGCTTCCTTTTTCTTTTTTTCTCCAGTTTCCCTTTCTGAAGTTGAATGACACTGTGCTAATTTGCAGCCCAACTCCTCCGGAGACTTTTGAGCTTAATTATATTTTTCTCATTGTTGGTGAATGGCTCGGCTATAATTATGCCTGGAAGTGCATTACTTAGGACTAACCTGAGAACAGCATCCCCTCCGGGGTGCGAGGGCATCGGCGGCTCCGAGGAGCTGTCATTTACGGTGCTGAACAACGGGACCCCACGAACCTTGTGCTGGAGAGGAGCTGAGCGCTTGCCAAATATCGCCCGTCTCCGGGACTCATATCCCTAGCACTGGTAATGGCCCTTCCTCCCGTCAGTAGTCCAGCCACTAATTACAAAACCTTGAACTGTGGTAGCAAAAGGAAATCCTGGAGAGAATTCACATCTGTCTGCCTTGCATTAAAACTGCTATCATCCGTCGCGGAGAGCTGGAGCCGGTCCTGAGCTCCCCCGATGCTCCATCTATCCTCCACGTCCAACGGCTGTGCCAAAAGCCAAGGGGTGAGGATGAGCTTTCTGGCCCACCTCTCTTGCCTGGATATTATACTTTAGTTGACTGTGACACACCGGTGCTTATGGACAACTTGCCGTAGGTATCAACGTTATCACTAATGAGATGGGAGCTGGTGTCTCCAGTGCATCCTTCATCCTTCCAGGGCAGCAGCAGAAAGAGTGATGGCTCTTGGCTGATATGAGAGGGGAATGAAGCAGCCCATAACACAAAGAGGACACCATGCACCTTCACTTTCAACAGGCTGAAAAAGGGCTCCCTCCCCGGCTACCTCTGAAAACCGATAGTTGATATTAACGGTAGTTTTTCAGACCTGATTCACAGCCCTCCTCGCCCATTGACTTCACACAAACTCTTTCAGCGAATGGGAGATACAGGAAGGAAGAAAGTGATATTTCATTTTAATTGCATTGAAGAAAATTTAGGAGAATCATCTACTGAACCTAAAAACTATTCCTTAAATGAGCTTACTTTTCTGTGTCACAGATAACATTGGACCGTGTTCAGACTAAAACAACTTTAAGAATCCAATTTACTTGTCTTCAGTACGCTGTGTTTTTAGCCTACTTTCCTCAGGAAATGGGGCTTACTTATGTGATTGTGCTGTTTATATATCTATATGCCATCACTCCCACACTAATAACTTTTGAACGTGTTGGCCAATTCCAACCAAATCTGACAGAGTGGTAGAGTTTTCAAAAATACTGAATTCTTACAAATTTAATGAAATACGTGGGTGGGCACATATTTTCCCCCACCAAGGGAAAGACTGCAGAGTGAACTCAGCCATATTATTAGACAGAAGAGAATACACACACACACACACACACACAGACACACACCAGTGCTGTTATAAAATCCCCAGGTGCTGGTAAGCCAGAGCTCACGTTGGTATTAGATGGGGAATATTGCACCTGAGCCCCAAAGCCACCGAAACGAGCATCAGGATTCCTCTGCCAATGCACCCACTGCCTATTTTGTGTGTTTCGTTCCGTTTGGACGATGCAATGTGGTGTGGGCACTGCAGGGGAGTGTTTATTCATTTAGAAGCTTTAAAATTAATCGGACTAATTATATGAAAGCCTTTCTAGCTGGTTCTAGGTTTGTAAAAGCTAGCTCTCTTCTGGTTCTGCACGCTGGGACGCAGCCGAGGAGAGACCGTCTGTGCAAAAATCTTCGCAAAGGGGAACAGCTCGAGCTGAAGGATCGCGGGTTTCAGACAAAGCAGCTCTCCCCGCTTGCGTTTCGAGGTCCTTGGGCCTCTCCTGTGTGCAGCCGAATTGCAAACCCAAGACACCCTCCGAGACTTGGGTGTACGCCCGCCTAATCCCACCTGCCCCGCGGCTCCAGCGAAGCCTAAATCCTGCAATCCTGCCCTTAGGCGAATGGTTTGGCTCTTCGGTGATAGGTTTTGGGGCCTCAGCATAAGAAGCCATTAACACAGGCAGCAAAAACTCCCGGGACGGATGTCATCCGCGGTTGGTAACCCAGCGCTAATGCACAGCGCGCGTCACGTTGGAGTCTGTCTGTCCCCGGCTCGCGCAGCGAGAGACGGGCTCCGCAGCAGATCAATAAAGGGCTTTTCAACACACCAGCAGCCCTCGTGCACCGGAGGCGATGGCTGTGCCATAAAAAGAGCAAAGCCTTACATTCCCGGCGCTTGCTTTCTTCCTAATGTCTAGTCAAGAACAGACTAGGTAAGACCGAGCGCAAACGGCGGAGGGAGCCGGGCTGCGGGATGGAGATGTCAGGTTCCTCACGGAGCATCTGACGGAGTATCCTCGAAGCCGTGCGCTCTCATTCTTTTATTTCTTTGCATCTTCACAGATGATTAAAGGGGTCCTCTGGGTGCTCCCCAAATCCCACAGCTCTGCTCCTCCTCCACGCACACGCGTGGTCACGGGCCGCATCCTCGCTCCCAGCACTGCGGCTGCTCTCCAGCAGAGCTCAGGACCGTGTTACCCCGGCCGGTACAGGGGAGGAAGGTATTCATGCCCTGGCATTGCTATCTGATTTGATTTTTTCCTTCTCCTCTCTCATAATTAGAAGGTGGAACATTATATGCCAAGAGCTCATGAAGCATTTCCAACACGGGGGGGGGTCATCTCTCTTCCAGCTCCCACTCCCGTGGCTTTCCAGGACCCTTACCGCCTGGGGACGGAGGATGCTCAGGCTCTCAGACCCGGCATCCCACAGCAGAGTAGATCTCCACATTTCCAGGATTCAGGCCTTTGTATCGAGGCATTCGCATCCCCAGATCACAGGGAAAGATCTGGTCTTTCCACTGCTCTGCAGTCTGTTTCCTACCTGGCAATCTAGTGGGATTTTTTTTTTTCCAAAGCTTTGACAACAATTTGGTACAACATCAGCTCAAAAACATCATCAAGCCCAAATATGCTCCCAAAGCAGGCCTGGGAGTCTTATTCACATTGCAGATAAGTCATCAGTAGACATGCTGATAAAGATTTCAAGTGTGACTCTGCATACAAATGATCCAGACCCAACAATTAACCCAGCACAGGCGACTGAGGAGGTACCCGGGTTTTTCCCCTAACTCCAGCCCTTTTTCCCCAGCCTGGCTGCTATATGTAGCTCTTGCTCAGAAACCAGAAAGGAATGATCATGCCCTATAAACCCTAAAAAGTGATACGAAGAACCCTGAATTTGGCAGAGGAGCCTTTCCTCACCTCTTGTCTGGGACCTTGCTGCAAGTCACGAAGCTCCAGGCACATTTTGGGAGCCAGCTAGAAGGTGCTTGTGTTGGCCCTGCTTTGAGCTGGGAGTTGGACCCTATTTCAACCTAAATTAGACATGACCCCTTTCCCCCCCCTCCTCCTGTTGGTTTTCAGCCGGATCAGGTCCCTGCTCTGAATCACTGAGCAGCTCCATGATAGCTACAGCCAGCCCGGGGAGTGGGGACTTCTTGAGGCTCGTAGGGATTATTTGGGCACCCAGATCTGCTGCTTTCTAGCAGAGCCTCAGGCAGGGCAAACCCTCCCCAAGCATCAGCTGCAGCCAGCGATTTGACTGCTTTTCCACTCAAAATCTCTTTTGGGAACAGAAATAGCTGGGAATCCTCCCAGCACGGGCCAGCTCTGGGATGGTTCCTCTTGGCTATAAGTCAGACAGAGGATATGGGCAAACATCATCTCAGGAGCTCTTCTGCTACAGGTAGCATCCTGTTTACTAAAGAGGCTAGGGAGAAATGGGGTAAATAATAACCCACTACCTCCTAAGCGACAGCTATCGGCCTGCGAGCCCCACACCGTGACCCACAAGTGCAGTCCCACCACGGTGCAACCACCCCCTGCACAGGCTGCAGCGAACGCACCGCTCTGGGTGACCCTGCATGGCCTCGACGGCTGGTTTGGGAAGGTCGTGCATCCACAGCTCTCTCGGAGTTTGCAGAGGGACAATTCGGCTTGGATCCACCCCACTTTGAACACCACCCGTGGGGCTTGGGCAAGCCCAGCGGCTTGGCTTTCCCCGCCCCCCCTTCGGGGCCCAGATGGCCCCGACCGCCGCCTGCGCCGGCAGATGCCCACCGCAACCCCTGCCTGCCTCCAGCTGCTTCCCTAAAATACCCCCACGAGCACCTACCACCGCAAAAAGTCTCATCCCACTTCTCCCATCAAACCGCAGCCGTCGGGACGGGGACCACCTTACC